ATTATAACTCACTAGTCTAAATCTGATTGATTCCTCTCTTTACATGCTAAGCTTCTGATGGCTGAGCTTTGACCTTTATTTGTTGTCATCTCAAAACCCAGAAAGATACTTAATACATAATAGGCAACTGATCAACATGTTTTAATGCATTCAAATGGAAAATTTATATAATGACTTACATTACTCTTTTATATATATGTTTAAAATTAAAAAACATAAAAATTCCAGTTTAGAATCTTATGATAAAATTTTTTAAAAAATGGTTGTGATTGATCAGATTACAAGCTATGTCAAAACTGTGCTTTCTATATTTACAATAGATAAGATTTTACTCAGGCTTAGAGGGGAGTATTTTAGACAAAGGGCATCACTTTGTTCCTAGAGGTATCTTCCAAAGCAAAGAATACAGCTTAGGAATAAGAGGAAGAAATAGTCAAATATTATAATTTCAGTATTAATCTTAAATTAATTAATCCAAACTTAATCTTTATTTCCCCATTTCCTAACATTTAGAAGATACTTAATTAAATATTAAAAACAAAAACAAAAGCAGTGAGGTAGTCAACCATAAAGTGTTTAATGTCTATCAGGGGAAAAGGCATGGAAACAGATGATTGTTATAAATGTGAGAGGAAATATAAATGAGGTATGTCTAAAGTGATTCTAGAACACAAATATGATATATGTTAACTCAACTTGGGGAGTAACTTCAAAGAAGAGGTGATAATTCAACAGACCTTAAAGGAGAAATAGTTTTCCCCTTAACTATTCATTTTTCTTGTAGAGGAGAGGATTAGGCATGGCACAGACAGAGGAGAAGCATGGAAGGGTGTTGTTGACAATAAGAGACCAATTACATTAATTGAACCAATGGATAGCCATTGCTGGTTGGGAGAGTTGAATGGAATTGGAACTATAAAAATATTCAAGGACAAGATTATGAAAAGTTACATATGCTTTTAAATATAATTCACACTTTATTTATAATATATAGTAAAATGATTTCTATGTACAAATGTGAGTGTTTTGTGTTTTGGAAGTGCAGAAAAATGACTGAGAGAAAAAGACAGCGAGAAGTCAAGAGAAGGTGGATAAAGCTTTCTCTCCAATCTAGTCTATTGTCTGCTCTTTCACTGCTCTTTC